GGGGAGAACTACTTTGATCCTCCTAGAGAGCACTTTTGCTAGAATCTTATAGATGCTTGTCACTAGGCTAATTGGCCGAAAATCTTTGGGGTGTCTGGCATCATTCTTTTTGGGAATTAAGGCTATAAAGGTGGCATTGATTCCAGGACACAAAATTTTTATCCTCAAATTCTATAAATACTCCAATTAAGTCTTCTTTGACTATGTCCCAACAATCCTAATAAAATGCCATTGTAAATCCGTCAGGACCCGATGCCTTAGCCCTATCCATAGAAAAAACAACTTGTTTAATTTCCTCTTCCTCAATCATTCTTTCCAGCCATCCCTTACCTGTTTGGTTCAAAGTTGGCCAATTTTCCTCCCCTACTATTAACCAATTCTTTAAGGGTCTTTGAAAGATGGATTTGAAGTGATCCACAATCCTACTGGCAATCTCCTCTTGAGAGGTTATCTCCACACCATCAACATCAAGCTTTAGTATCAAATTTTTCCTCCTCACATTAGCCAAATCATAAAAAAATTTGGTATTCCCATCCCCTTCCTTGATCCACTTATATATGGATTTTTGTCTCCAAGAGATCTCCTCCCTCAACAAAGTCTCCTCTAACTCCTTTTTCAGTTTCCTCCTCATTTCTCTGTCTTGCTCATCAATCATCCCTTGGGATTCTTTTGCATCTAACTCCTCAATCTGAACCAATAATCTAGCTTTTACCTCCTCCACTCTTCCAAATTGAATCTTATTCCATTCAACCTTTTTAATTTTTTGTGGAATCTAACCCCATCCCATTTCACTTCTCTCAACTCTTCACTCCACCATTCCTTAACCTTATAGGGTAGTGATCAGAGGTTATCCTAGGTAGGGCCTTAGCCACCAAACCTCTCCAGTGGCTCTCCCAACCCTCATTAAATAGGAATCTGTCAAACTTTGAGCAGATTGGGTTTTCTTGGAAGTTGGACCAAGTGTAGATAGCCTGTAGTAGAGGAAGTTCCCGTAATTCACAGGAATTTATGAAGTCATTGAACTTCCTCATACTAGTTGTAATGGTCTGCCTAGGATTATTTGACTCATTTGTGAATCTTATTGCATTAAAATCACCCCCCAAACACCAAGGACCTTCCCACAAACCTTGAATCCCATGAAGCTCCTCCCAAAACTCATTCCTCTCTCTGTGATTATTTGGAATATACACATTTGTTAGCACCCAAGTAAATCCATCTTCCACCATTCTGAATTTTAGGGATACAGTGAAGTTTCCTATTAGCTCCTCTACTGGTTCTTCGAAGTCCTCCCTCCACAAGGTTACTATTCCCCCCGAGGCTCCCCATGACGGAGCTGAGCACCATCTTACCCCTCTTATTTTCCATATCTCCCTGACCCACCTTCTATCCAGTTCAGCTAATTTTGTCTCCTGCAACATCACAACATCAGGTCTTTCTCTTCTAAGTAACTCCTTAATCGATCTCCTTTTTCTGGCGGTGTGCAAACATTATAGCAGGCCCCTTGACTATCTCTTCTGCTCAAGTGGAAAACCATAAACCATAGCCAAGTGAATAAACTCCTTCTAGATGGTGCCCAGCCTTAGCATTTAGCTTATATGATTCCCCTTTAAGAAATCCATATATGAAAGAATATGTTTTCTACATGCATATCAACAGTTTTTTTAATGCACATCCACAGTAAGAATCTCCTTGTTTTATCATATCCACGTTAACTATTACAACACTTTTCTAATTTAACAAATTTTAACCCAAAAATAGCTTACTTGGTGAAGAACTCGGCAAAGAGTTCAAACAACATGGTTTAGAATACATTTGCCTCCACCTTGTAGAGGTACAGATCATAGGATTAGCGTTAGCCTACAACCATATACCAACTTTGTTTATCATGAAAAAGCAAATCATTGAAGTTGTCAAAAAGGATGAGAAACTTCAGTAGAAAAGCTTGATAAAATATACATGAAATCTTTGTAAAACCCTCTTCTTTTCTCCAGTATAATCAAGGCCTAATATTTCAGACCTCTTAATGCAACGTAAGGTAATAATGTTTCGTGGACTTGTGAAAAATAACAGAATGAAAAGATAATCATTGAGGTCATAACATGGCTCGGAGGTGATGGTGACAATTTCAACTTTTGGACCAGCTAGATCTCCTAAACCCCTTACTGCAAGACTTACTTCTTCCATGCACTTAGGTTCCTGATCTTTCTTGGGTATTGCCACATTTTTTATTTATCTAGTTTAGTGCTACCATTTGTCCTAGTGAGTTTTATGGGCTTGCTGAGCCAGAAGCTTCCTAAGATAAAGCATCTAATACAAGGTTCTACATCAACAAGAAACAAGAAAGGGAAGAAAGGCATTATGTACATTATGATTGAAATGGCAGTGTTGTGTGAGATGACTGGTACTGGTAGATAGAGTCATTCAGCATGGCATACTTTGAATACACCCTTGCACAGTATTGGGGTCGCATTTCTTAATATTGCTGATCCGCTTACTCAGACTAATTCTGTAGCCATCGAGATTGGCCCAGTTTCATATTGAAATCAAATGTTCAATGTCCAAGAGGTCATGCAAGCAGGAGAAACTGAACCAGGCAGAATGTAGCTAGAAGTACAAAAATGAAAAATGCAAAATGCAAAAGATAAGACGTCAATTTCTCTGAACAAAACATAAAATGAATTAAATAGAAATTAATTTCCTCTTTGTTTTTTTTGTTACCTTTCTTCTCGACGCATTCATCGTGAGTCTTACAGCACGCATCGAGATCGTCGCACGGCTTTTCTCCAGGACAACCCGTCCACCCTACTCCACAGAACTTCCCGTATCGAATTCCGACAGCTAAAATTCAATACAAAAAGAAATAAAAAATAAAGATCGAAACCTTTCACTAATGGTGAAATCAAAACTTTAGAAAGAAACCTAAAATCAAACGAGAATAAGGGTTTACAGTTACAGTTGTCTGCTACGCAAGTTTTGCTACATTTGACCTGCCACTCAGCCCAAAAGAGACGAAAGATTAGAGCTTTCGCAGTTGGATATCGGAAGTAGAAAGCGGGAAAGCTTTAGGGATTTGAATCGAATTAAACCTGAGGGTTTGAGCACTCTACGACGACGAGGAGGACACAGGAGAATACCACGATGAAACGTGCCCTATTAATGAGGTTTCGATGCAGCATTCCTTATTCCCTTCTCGGAGCTTGAGTTGGGAGCTGGTCGACTGAAGGAGCCTCCTCCGTGTGTTTGGAGGTTTGAAATAAGTAAGACTTAACTCCTAGACGATTCGAATCAAGACGGAAATGGATGGGAAGAAGACGAACTTATGTTTACAAACGGCTGAGAGAGGAGGGATTGGAATTTGGAAAAGAAACAGAAACCTTGGCCAGTTGCGAGGTCAAGGGGTATTACGTGACTTCTGAGTCCGAGTCTGAGAGTTGTGAATTGTGATTACCGGATGGTTCTTAAATTTCCGATCAGTACTCAAATTTGGCTCGAGTGGCAATTTGCTTCTTAAATTTTAAAATACGAACCTGAACTCTCAAAATGTGACAATTCAGTATTGACCGTTAACTAATCCGTTAATTAGTCGTTAAGTGACATTTCAAAAGTCAAATATTTTTAGAATGCTATCTAATTTTCTTTATTAACCATCCAAACATCCATAATAAAATGAACATTTCCAAATTTTAAGTTTTTCTAAATAGTCACCAATTTTTTTAAATAAAAGAGGCTAGGATTTGGGATAATTCAGTTTTCTGTAAATATTTGGATGGTTGATAAAGAGAATTAGATGGCATTCTTAGGGCATTTTTTACTTTTCAAATGTCACTTAACGGCTAATTAACGGAATGGCTAACGACAAGTACTAGATTGTCACATTTTAAAAGTTTAAGTACTTGATTGTTATATTTTGAAAGTTCGAATACTGGATTATTGTATTTTAAAGTTTGGGGACCAAATTGTCACTCGAACCAAAGTACAAGGTATTGATCGAGAATTTTCCCTTAAAATAAGGCAATTTTATTAAATTACCGTTAACATTTAGAAAATTAACTAACTATACTCCATTGTTTCAGTATTATCTTAAAACTACCCTTACTGTTTTTACAATTGACTAAGAGCCCATTTGGTGTATCTTTTTGCACAGTCTTTTAGTTGTTTACAAGCCGAGAAGACCAAATTTCAGCTTATTCCCATTTGGTTCACAGAAAATATAGTCGCCAAAAGCCGGAGTGTCAAAAAAGATACGAAAAGCCCATTTTGGGCTGATTTTGTAAAACTCCAAATGAAACTTTTCGCATCTTTCATGTTTTATTCTCATGTAAAAAGACGCATGAAAATATGTGATACTGCCAAACTAGCTTTGGGCCGGTCAGATTTTTATGCAAAAGCTCAATGTACCTTTTGATTCTCAAAGTTACCATAAGATCATCTCAAAAGGACACACCAAATGAGCCCTAAATCTTTATCACTAGTGTTTGTTAAGGGAATGATTAGAAAGATTATTTTTCCCATCATTCCTTTTTAAATTTTTAAAAGAAAACTGTTTGACACTTGATTAAAAGTGAAAACTTCAAACAAAACTCGTTTAAAGATGTCGAAGACTATGGACCAGTTCTCGGACGTCCGTTGCAGTTTCTTCAATGTATTTTTTGGATCATCTGAAGCTCCCCCACCACTGTTGACGAGCATACGGAGGAAGATGCAACCGCAGGCTCCACAGCTCTTTCACCACCTGTTTTCCTACGGTAGTACTTGCTGCAAAACTTGAGGTATGGTCAATAACTCGATCTGGGGATCTTTTTCTCCTATAGACTTCTTCTCGGCAAACAACTTCGGAATGCTCGATCAGCAGAGAATTGTTCCTTGGGAGGCTTAGATATAGATGGTTTTGGTTCAACTTCAACTGGTACAGAAGCCCGTTGGTTGTAGAAGCCATTTCTTGAGCCACTAGTAGATTCGATCAGATGGATTCTACAGGATTGCTACTCCCGGCTGCAGAGGTCTTGCCATTAATTACTTCTAAAGTTATCTATACTTGATAAGCCTGGACTGGCCACAGCACCAAGGCTTTGGAGATTAGCCCTAATAAACACTGCAGGCCTTGAGAAATGGGAGAAGTTCATTAGACCTGCACTGATATCAGGCTGTGGCGATGGTCTTGTGAGTCTTGCAAAAGCTACAGTCACCTCCACAGCACAGAGCACCACTGTGGAATTTCAAACAACCACAATCTTATCAACAAAACCCTTTTCCTTCTATTTGGTTCTCCACCATATGGGCTCTTAAAAAAAAGACACATTTAACAAATTTGGAGCTTATGAGCTTAAACTTTTTTCTTGGGTGAACTTATGAGTTTAAAACTAAGAACACCGTAAGGCAACAAGATTTGAAAAAAAAAGGAGAACATTTTCAATTGGGAATTACAAAATTGAAGTTAAACTTTACATTCCAAACCACCAAATAAAAAAAATAAAAATAAATAAATAAATAAATAAACTTTAATCGAAACAGGCTTTCAAAGACTCTGTAAGCTCCCAAACAACCTGCAAAGAACCCCCNCCTCTTTTCCGCTTTCTACTTACAAAAGAACCCAGATCGATTCATAACTCCCTAATTTTTAATCAACAAATCCCACACAATTTCCACTGCTTTTCATTGGAAAGTAAACATAACGAAGCAAACCCATCTCGGAGAACAGTATCAATCTCACTCTCCCGCCAAAAATAACTCGAGATTCGATGAAGCACTTCTCGAGCAAACCCAAAACACGTTAACTGAAATACATTAAAATTCCAAAATTCGTACAAGGTGCCTCCATTTTAAAAGGGAGTTTCCCTGTTCCACATACAAAGAGAGAGAGAGAGGAGGTGAGAGAATGAGCAGCGAGAGTCGGTGGGATGGTTCAAAGGCATGATGAGGGGAGGAGGGCAAAAGAACTAGCAAGTGATCTTTACTTGTGAAAAATGATTGTTTCATATTAAGATCGCTGGTACCAACTGCTCATTATCTTCTTCTTCTTTTTGGTAAAACATGCTCATGGTCTCATATGACCTTGGGTTGAGCATCTCTTAAAGCTTGAAGGGGCCCGGCCCAAGGGCCTGTGCCTAATGCAGAGTATATTCTTCAAAATTGGTGCCCAATTTAGGCCATGTTTGAGAGTGATTAAGTTAAAAAAAAAGTGCTTATTCGAATAAGCATTTATTTTGCATTTGACATCCAACTATTTCAAGTGTTTATTTTAAAAAATAAGCACTTGTTTCATATTGGGCATTTGATAGTCTTTTTCTCTAATAAGCACTTAAATAATCATTTCTGACTAAGGGTGTCAATGGACTTGTTTTTTATTGGACCCCGTCCAGTCCAAAATCAATTTGGATGGATTGGACGAACCAACAAGACATATTGGATTGGACCAATCTGGTCCAAAATATTTATTAGATTGGATTGGACCTGGTCCGTTCGTAATAAATTTAAATTAGATTGGGTTGGATTAAGCCAATATCTAGTCCATTGATATAAGATAAGAATATATGTGTCAATGGATCAGGTTTGGGTTGAAATCAATATAAATCAAAACAAATTTAAACAGATTGGATGGTCCAGACATTGATTTGGACCGGTCCAAATAATTCATTGGACCGGATTGGACCTGGTCCATTTATAATGGACTCACATTGGACTAGATCGGATTGGACCATATCTAGTCCAATTGACACCCATATTTGTGACTATTTTTTCCTTCATTTTCTTTCAAATTTTTAAAATATACCCTTATGAAATTACTTTTATTAAATTATTTTTATAAAAATACTTTTATAAAAGTACTTTTGCGGAAGCACTTTTGCAAAAGTACTTTTATATGAATGCACTTTTATAAAAATATTTTTACAAAGAACTTTTATGAAAGTACTTTTGTAAAAGTACTTTTATGAAAGTGCTTTCATAAAATTCAACTAGAGATAATTTTATAAGTGGTATTTTAAAATTCAACTAGGGATAATTTTGAAAGAAAAAAATTGAATAAGTGCTTATTGCATAAGTACTTAAAAAAACTGAAAATTTGGGTTAAAAAAATAAGCCCTTATTTTTAAAATAAGTACTTATTTTGGGCTTATTTCCCAAATGTCAATAAGTGTTTAATGGCCCAAATGTTTTCTTATTATCTTTTGGCTTATTAAGTTGCAACTCTCTTGTATAAGTTTCCTTACCTTTTTATTAAACATTTTTTGTTTATTCACCTCTCAATTTCTCTCCACAAGTTTGGTAATTATGTTCCATCTTCTTTCTGCCTAGTTTTGCTTCACAGCTTGGAGTCCAAGAGGATGGATGTTCTCTAAGGTGATTTTCTTTTTTATTTTTGTTGTGTTTTTAAGAAAATTGGGCCCACAAATGATATGCAAAATCATTTTTTGAACAAAAAAAACATGAAACACGTTCTTGGATGTCTAGTGTTTCCATCTTTTTTCTTCTAAAAATGCTATCTTGAGTTTCTGGTTTCAAAAAATGATTTCATCTTTTAGTTTGATACTATATTTTATAAAGCACATAATATTTAGATAATGATTTTAATTGAATGGATACTTTAGTTCACCTTTCTTTATACCTTGGATTCTAAATTCAATTAGAGGGTGTTTTTTTTTCGGATTTTGAGAGGGGGGAAAGTTGGTCAATGGTATTTTGGTTCTCATTGACCAAGAATCCCATGTTCTTTTTTCAGATTTATGTGGGGATCAGGGAAAATTTATTTTCTTGGGTATCACTTACCCGAGTAAGTGATACCAATCTCCTAGGTGGGTAAATAACTTTTCCACCTAGAGGAAAAGTTGAAAACACTTGAATGGGACAAAAATACCCTTTTTAATAATTGATTTTTATGACTAAAATGGTCATTGCTTTATTTACATGAGAAATAAAAGAACATGGGTAAATACACTTACCCAAATAAGTGTTTCACAGGAAAAAGTAAATCAAAGATATTTTACTAAGATGGTCTATCTATAGCAGATTTGGTGATACATCAGCTTTATGCAAGTACAAGCATTATTTTTGAAAGCATTTTTTGTTGGTTTAAGAAGTAAAAGTAAACCAAAGATATTTTAATTAACTTTTAACATTAACCAATCAACCCCCCCCCCCCAACTAATTGTAGTATTGATTGGTTACAATTTTTTTCGGTATCATGTGTTTCCAGTTTCCAGTACCGTTGTCAAGCTCTTTTGAAAAAAGAGCACACATGAACTGCATTTTTATTTACATCACTGGTGTTTTGTGTTCTATTGCGGGGTCACGACTCATAAGGGAGTGCTGCCACCATGGTTGCAGCAGATGTGCTCTCCTGATAAGTTTGCTTGAAAGTGGACTACCAGTAGAGAATTCAATGTTGGCATAGCTTAAATTCCTGCTGTTGCCAAGCAATGTGTTCACTTAACTAGCATCTGTCAATTGCAAAATTTTGTAGT